TGCGTCTCTCCTGCGTGGCTGTCGTCCGTTTTCCCTCATCGTGAGAGCTCTGGCCTAACTCGGCCTCCCCCTTTCCCTGAGGGGCCATCTCTCGGGGTCCTGCCCCGGTCCCCGCTTCTGGCTGGGATGCAGGACGGCAGGAGGCGGCACCGGAGGGGAGGCCGTGGAGCCGGAGTCGGGCGCGGGGGCGGGAGCCAGTCTTGAGGATCAGCGTGTGGGGTTCGAGGACCTAGAGAGAAAGGCGGGGCCGGGGCGGGTCCACAAGGACGTCGTGGTAGGGCTTGAGTGTAGGGGACGTGCGGAGGGGTGGAAGGGGGAGTGATAGACTTGAGCTCCGTTGTTTTTTTTTTCACATTAGAAGCTATATTTTGTTTGGAAAGTAAATTAGAGATAGAAAAAGAGGAAACTCACCTCTTCAAAGGAGGGAAGGGGGCCAAGGCAAGGAAGCATGCTGGCGTCAGCCATAGCTCAAAGAGCACATGGTCAAGCCATAACTTGGAAGGGCAACGGCCGGTCCGGCTCTTAAACGGTCCCTCGGATGCTGTGTGGAGAGTAGGCTCCAGAGGTGGCCAGAGTGGAGATGAGAAGCCAGTTGTGGTCGCTGTTGATCCGTACTTTAAGTGATGGCTAGGGCGGGGAGGGGCGTCTGCTAATCGGAAGGGAGGAAAGTGGACAGGTGAGGGGTGTTTTGAAGGTAGAACTGACACGGTTTCCTGTTGAATTGGGTAAGGGATGCGGAGGGAGGAAGTTTGGGGTGGACAGATCAAAGTAACTGGACTTAGGGCCTTACGGAGATTTCCACTTTGGTTCCACTAAGTTTGGCCCTCGGAGAGTCCAGAACTCTAGGGGAGCTTGGGGCAAGGCTTGGGCTGGAGAGGGCTTTCCAGAATTGCCAGCATTTAGTGCATTCCTCACTGGTCCTCAGCCACTCCTTCCCTAGTCCGCACATCATGGGCGGCTTCTCATCCTCCAGGGATTTCTGGCCTTCCTGCGTTCCTCACTGGACCGGCCGTTCCATGAGGCAGGGTCTCTGCTAGGGAGTGGGTGCTCCCTGCTTGCTGTGGAACAGACTGAGCCTCTGCTGGAAGTGTCTTCTCCTCTCCCCGGCTAGGGGGCCTCTCCTCTGCCTCCCTCACGTGCGGCAGTGGCTGCCTGTGTCTGAGAACCCGAGAGGTTGAGGAACTCAGCTGAGGTGTCACGGGAATAGCCATTTTGCAGATGAGCCCGAGGAATGCAGAAGTGAGGCCAGAGCTCCAAAATGAGGGTCAGCCTGGCTCTCACAATACTCATCTGGTTTGATGTCTGTGAGGGCTTTACAAATAGGAGTGGAGCAGCTTTGCCTGGAGTGGTGCTGTCCGGCTAGGCCTGTAGCAGCCTGGGATTTGCCTTCGGATGCAGCTGAGAGTGGGGCCTTGCCCAGAGTCTTCTGGCCAGCATCCCTCGCAGGCCCCCACTGTAGCTGTGGCTTCAGCCATCCCCCCACAGCTCCCATATGCAACTGCAGTGGGGTTGCGACCTGCTTTTTCCCTCTGGTTTCCCCAGTCTCCAAGTGGGAGGGATGCTGTTTAGGTGGCCTGCTGGTCCCTCACAGTTCAGAGCCTGGCTATGTGATACTCCTGCAGCAAGGACTTTGCGGGGGACAGGAGGGAGCTAGGAGCCCCCAGGTTCTGGTGGCCAGTCCTGGGGAGCCCACAGGGCTGGGCAGGCGAGGCACAGGAGAGAAGCTCTGGTAACCAGTAGCCTCCCTGTCTCCCAGACCACTTCCACATGCAGTCGGAGTCTCTGATCGGTCCCCTGATGCAGACCATCTCCCACCAGCACTGGAAGGTACGCGTGGCTGCCATTGAAGCCACAGGCGAGGTGATCCAGTTTGGCAACGGGAAGTCCGTGGACGATGTGCTTTCTCATTTCGCACAGCGGCTCTTTGATGATGTCCCACAGGTAACACATTTTCCCTGGACAGGTTGTTCTTCTCTGCCAGGGCATGCTGGCATGCTGCTCTAATGCACTTGTTTCTTTGTTCAACATGCTACTCATACCACGTGTCCTCTCATTGTCCTCAGTCACAAAATGCTTCCATTTCACGTCTTTGGAAAACTAGAAGACAGCTGAGTTGGTTTAATGAGTGTGTTATTTTTAATTCCAAGGAATGTGGGAAAGGATTATTTTTGTGATTATTGTCTCTTAGGAGGAAAAAAAATCCTGTGTACTTGAACAGTTTGCAGAAGCATCACTAATGTCCCTGCTCGTCAAGGATTTCCTAAAAAGCCTCGGTGGTTGATGGGCCTGGCCCGGGCGAAGGCTGGAGTCAGAACTGGTTTCACGTTGTTGGGCTTGGGAATCCACTGAGAGACAGGCAGGTGTCCTACAGATGGAGACCAGAGCATTGACATTGTTGCTGGCAGAATCTAGCTCAGAGGGCCCGTCTCTGGTCCAAGGTCCCAATGTCTTGCTAAAATGACAAACCGTAACCACAGGAGAGCAGCTACTCTAGGTCAGTAAACATGAGTAACCTCTAATCTCTATGAGTGCAATCATACAGTGACATCTTTTGTGTCTGGCTTCTCTCACTGTGTAATGTTTCCGGTTCCATCCATGCTGTAGCATGTCAGTGCTTCCTCCTTTTTGTGGCTGACTAATACTCCGTTGTACACAACAGACCACATGTTGTTTATCTGCCCACCCCTGGATGGACACATGGGTTGCTCCCACCTCTAGGCTCGTGTGCATCGTGCTGCTGTGAACGAATGTGTACAAGCATCCGTTTGAGTCCCTGCTTTTCACTTCTTTGGGTCTGTATCTGAGAGTGGAATTGTTGGGTCAGATAGTAAATGTGGATGTATCTTTTTTCTTTCTTTTTTTCAATCAGGGTCTCACTCTGTCACCTAGGCTGGAGGGCAGTGGCATGATCATGGCTCACTGCAGCCTTGACCTCCTGGGTTCAGGCAGTTCTTCCACCTCTGCCTCCCAGGTAGCTGGGACTACAGGTATCCACCACCACGCCCAGCTGATGTGGGTTTAGCTTTTTGAGGAACTACCACAATCATTCCATGGAGGCTACTCTGTTTCACATTTCACCAGCAGCGTGTGAGGGTTTCCATTTCTCTCCATCTTCGCTAACACTTGTTATTTTTGTTCTGTTGTTGCTGTTGTGGTTATTATTATTATAGCCATCATGGGTATGAAGTGATGTCTCATTTTGATTTGATTTACATTTCCCTAATGATTAGCGATGTTGAGCACTTTTCCATGTGCTCATTGCCACATTCCTTGCAATGACTTTAGCCTTTTTTCTTTTGTTTTCCTTGGAATTTGTGTTCTGTCATTTTGCTCTGTTAAGTGTGTGTACAAGTAGACTGGAAAGGCCCAGATGCCTGGTCCAGTTACACGAAGAGTAAAGGAGGAAGACGTAGGAAGTGACACGACTGCTTCCTCTCGGCTCCATCCTGAAGAAGGCGGAGGAGCCACAGGGAGTGTTTGACTTGGCTTGAGCTCAGGACTGAGGCTGGAAGGCACATCTGGAAGGTGGCAGGTTTCTTGGAGGGAAATGATGTGAAGGTGGCAAGTTGAAAGTGTCGCGTGGGGCTCTTGAGGGCCTGGGACAGAGCTCTGGCTTGGTCACTCATCTGTGCCGCCAGCTGCCAGCGTTGACAGGTGGAGCCAGCCCCAGGTGAGGCCCAGCACCTGCTCAGGAATGCCTCTGCTGAGCTCCACCACTCGGACTTCATTCCTGAGCAGCCCCCTCAGGGGCAGTGTGGCTACCCCGGGGGCTGCGCAGAGACCAAGAGTGCCTCCCCCCAGGAGCTGCAGTTCTTCCCTCCAGTCTCACCGGGCTCCAGAAGTCCATGGCAGCTGGCCCTCCTGGAGCAGGGGAGGTCAGCACGAGGCAGCATGGGGCCCCCAGCAGGTTGGGCTCTGCCGAGGGAGGAGGAGGCGGCCGAGGGAGGGCTGGGGCCTTGTCCACGTGGCACAGTGTGTGCAGCAGGCGCTTCTGCCGCAAAGCTGAAGCCCTGGGCGGCCAGGGCAGTTCCAGGAGTTGAGGGCAAGAACAGTGAGAAACTGTGGGCAGCTGGGAACGTCTCACCCTCCTTAAGCCCACAGTGGAGCATGGCCCACGAGAAGAGTGACTTCTCATGTCATGGGCCAAGTCTGCTCCTCAGGACCGTGTGATGACTTGATGATGGGGCCAGCTCCTGCAAAGACTGCTACTCTGTAGCTATCTGTGGCTGTCCATAGCTGTCTCCAAATGCTGCCTCTGTGGCTCCAGAGCTCTCTCCCAATACTGTAACTGTATCGAGAGTACTCTGTGAGTACTACTGACTCCATAGCTATCTGTAAACAGAATAACTATCCATAGCTGCCTGTAAATGCTATAACTTTATCGATAGCTGTCTGTAAATGTTGTAACTGCTATAACTGTGGATTGATAGCTCTCTGTATTCATACAGCTGTGTATTGGTAACGCTGCATTAGTAGCTTACCGTGTAACTGTCTTTTGAGAAGCTGACAGCACGCTGTTGGCTTGAAGCGTCACTTTGATGCCAAACTCCAGCGTTCCACAGAAGAGCGCAGTGGTCATCAACTGATGCGGTCTCCATAGAGCCCACCCATGGCAGCAGTCTCTGTTTTCTTTGCTGACAGACTTTTTAAAAACTTCAGTCCGTGACTCTCTGTTTCTTGGTATTGAATATCCCCCTTGACACTCCTTACTACTAAAATGACTTCTCTCTTTTGACTTTTACCCAGTGGGGTCGAGTTTGTTCAGTAGGGTTCCTGGTGCTAGTCAAGCTAGGATTTCAGTACAGACGTTCAATTGCCTGCAGCTCTCAGTGGATTGGGTCCTATTAACAGAGACTCTGCAAAGCCCTTCACTTGCATCGCGTGTGGAGTCATGGGCTGCCCTTGTTACCGTCATCAGCTCTGTGACCCTGTCTTGAAGGTCACCTGATCTCTGTAGATGTTTCTGCCTCTTAACAGCCTGGGCTGCATTGGGTTTCGCATCTGCACAGAAGGTCCTAACTGCCTCCTGCCTTAGAGGAAGGCTCCCAGGAACTGCTGTCCTGCAGCCTACTGGACACGTTAGGGCACCCCATGCAGAGACCTGGAAATAAGTGTTCTAAGCCTTCTAGTCAGTGTGATCTTCCTGTGAAGAGGATACAGCTGTTATCTCCTTCCAGGTGAGGAAACAGGCTTCCAGCCCCGCTCAGGGAACACAGCCAGGTGAGTGGCAGAGCAGGGCCCACACGTGGTGGTCCAGCCAGTGGCTTTCTAGTGTTTCAGCACGTGGCGGTGACGGCTTCGAGCTCCCCACTGACCTCAGATGGTGTTACAACAAGTGTGGCTGGCAGTCCACACTTTCAGCCACACCAACTCTGGGCTCCCTGTTCCTCAACTGCGTGAGGCCTGCCTGGCTTGTGTGAGGATGGCAGTGAGGGCTTGTTCTGCGTCGGGTGGTAGAGTTGGCACGGCACTATTTCTGAGTTTCTCTCAGTTGTCATCTAGGTCCTTGAACTTCTAGTTGTGTGTATTTTTAAATAATTGGGAGAGCCTCTCTTTTCTCTGATCTGTATTTGTGTTTTTGGTAGTTAATAGCAGTTCGTGCCAGTCGATGATAGCTGCCTGCAGAGAATGCACAGCACGGTCTCATATCCCCTTGGCAGCCTCCCAGTGCCTGTGTGACTGAGGGTCTCCTGCGTGCCCTGCCCGGGAGGGGGCAGGTGCAGCTCTCCTCAGCCAGCCCGGCGATGTGTCCTGTTGCTCCTCCTCGTCTTCCAGATCAGACCTCTGGCCGCAGGTCCCAGGCCCACGGGGGCAGGGCCGAGGTGTGATTTGCTCTCTCTGTCCTGTGATGGGGCCAGCGCCGAGGACCCCTCCGAGTCCAAACGGAGGAGCACGTGGTAGACACGGTTGGGGCCCTGGCCCCTGTGCTTGAGTGCTCCGGCGGGTGGCCCGCAGCCAAGTAGAGCCAGGTCGCCCCCAACAGCCTGCAGGAACCTTTCTCTCCTGCCCCTCGCCATCCCCACCAGTGAGTGATGGCACTGCGGGGCAGCCCCTTCCTGGGAACCGCTCTTGCCAGGAGCCTGGCTCACCTGGGCTCTGCTTCGGGGAGCCTGTTGTGTGCGTAAGCGGGTTTCGTCTCCTTGTGCAGGTCAGGGAGGCGGAGGCCTGCTGGTGGCCTTCTCAGCCGGCAGCACTGGGGCCAGGGCTTCCTCAGGGATCCCTAGGCTCAGGGCCAGAGGCCTCTGCACACTAGCACTTGGCAGCAGCCGGGAGCTCATTAAAAACCCCTGGCGAGGCCTTGCCAGCTGGCCAGGAAGTGCTCACACAGAAGCCTCGTAGCGCAACTTCTGGCTCAGGCGGCACCAGGAGCCTGTCCGTGCCAGGGGAGGGCCGGGTGGAGCCTGGGGTGCTCATGGGCCACCTCTCAAGTCTGGGCAGAGGGGGCCAGCAGAGCTGCTGCCGAGGGCCTGGCGGGGCCTGGTTGGGGGCTCTGGACCCCAGGCCATGTGTCTGTTCCGGGACCACATCCTGTGGTGGGAGCGGGTGCCGCCCCTGCATACTGACCCTCAGTGTTTGCGTGGCCCGGTGTGAGCCTTTCTTTTCTCTGTGCCAGGTCCGGCAGGCAGTGACTGCTGTGGTGGGGGGCTGGCTGCTACACCTGCGGGACCGCTACTCCTTCTTCCACAAGCTCATGCCCCTGCTGCTGAGTGGCCTCAGCGACGAGATGCCCCAGGTCAGGTGCGTACGCGAGCAAGGCCAGGCCCAGGCCGCCGGCCACCCACTGTCCGGCTGCGCTCCCCGCCTCCCTCTCCCTTCCCCTTCCCCAGGCAGCACCGCCCCCTCCTGCCACAGGGAGCCAGCCCCGTGAGCTGGCTTCTCTCTGTGGCGCAGGCAGATGGCCGCCAGCCTCTGGGAGGATGCTGGCCTTCAGTGGCAGAAGGAGAACGAGGAGGACCTGAAGGACAAGCTGGACTTCGCCTGTCCCCCGCCGCCCCATTACCCCGCCCAGGGTGAGTTGCAGACTGGAGGGAAGGTCGGGTCGCTGTTTGCGGGAAAGGAACCTCTGCACTGGTGGGGATTCTCAGTCGCTCCCCACCCCAGAAGGTGGCGGCGTCCCTTATCCGAAGGTGCGGGAGAGGGTGTCTTCCTCCTTGGGATGGAGCTCCTTCCTCCCGAGGGCTGGGACCTCCCCATGTCTGGGCAGGCAGCACCTCTGTCTCCGCATTGGGGGAGGACCCTTGTGCGCGTGCGCTGGCCTCTTCCCACTCCTGGACCCACTTTGCTTTCAAGAGGCTGCGGACTTCTGGGAGCACCCCCGCGCCTCTGGAAGATGCCTGCCTCGCTCCCTTGTCCATGTGTGGGAGGAGACATTGAGCCGTGGTGTTCGAGGCAGCGGTGTGGGTGGTGGTGGATGTTTCAGAGCAGGCAAGATGAGGGTGCTTGTCGTTTCACCGGAAAGAGCCAAGCACACAGTCACAGATACGATGAAGTCTTCGTCGTCCCACGTAATTTCCGTACTCGGTTGGAGGCTTCCGCTTGTGTGACCCTGCCCCCCCACGTGCTTCCTGGTCACACTGCGTGTACCTAGGTATGCTCTGTTTGTGTGCAGAGGCAGAGCATCTCACCACATCTGCAGGAGGCTGGGGGTCCCAGCGTACTCCTGCTTCACCAGGCTGCCTCTGCCTTTGGGTGACTGGGAGGCCACGTGGCTCTTGTGGGGTTGAGTGTCTTCCGCTTGTGCTCCATCCAGTGCTTGTGTCACGTTCCTCCCTCTGCAGGGTGTTTCCTTAAGACTGCGGCATAGGCACACAGTGACAGGGACAAAAAGTAGGTGAGATACACCCAAATCAGACACATGCCCCAGGAGGTTTGCAGTCTCCAGGGCCACCTCTTGCCTGGGCTGGGCGCTGGAGTGTCCTGGGGCAGGGTCGTTGCCGGAGAGGAGCGTGGCGTAAGTGAAGTCGGTGTCCACACAGGGTCTTGTGCCTAGTATCTGGTCTGACATGAGATCCGAGGCTCCAGAGGCACTGCTCCCCTCCTCAGCCTGAGAGTCAGAGGACGTTTTTCTTCCTGTTAACACATTTCCCGGCTGCCTCGCCCTGCACTGTGAGGGGAGGCACATGGATTTTGGAAACGGTGCAGAAACTCATGCCGGCAAGCTGTATTCTGACTGAGTAAAGTGCATTTGTGAACACACCATCTTTAAGAGTGTGGGGCTTAGACCTGAGGTTGCTTGCGAATTTGTGTTTAAGCGAGCCCTCATGCCTGTGATGGAAGTAGCGTGCCCAGGGATTTGTGTTCCTGTCCTGCGAGTGAGCACCTTCTCCCCAGCCATCTGGGGTTCACTTCCACATGGGCTGGGCCGGGAGGCTGGATTATGGGTGGAGACATGTTTCGGTTGGGTTCAGAGCTCTGCCTCCAGGTGTGAGGGCCAAGTGTCCCCACCTGAGTGGGGTGCCATGTGGAACCTCAGCTGCACGTCGTGTCGTCCTTCACACACTCACTGTGACTCACCCCGCACTGTCTGTGGAAGAGCCACGTATCCACTGAGAAGACAGGATTGTCGTCCTGATGCATTGGGAAAGCCTTTTGCCTTGCCCAGGAGGCATGAAGTCCAAGTCCTTAACAGAGCTCTGTGGAGAGGAATGAAGTACTGGGCACCGGGATGGCTTCTGGAAGATGCAGTCCTTGGATGTACACATGCGACACACACACACACACACACACACACACACCACCCTGCCCTCACTCGCTGGTGGGCTACCAGGCGCACACACACACACACGCACACACACACACTCTCCACCCTGCCCTCACTCGCTGGTGGGCTACCAGGCACACACACACACACACACACACACACACACACACACACACACACACACACACACACACACACTCCACCCTGCCCTCACTCGCTGGTGGGCTACCAGGCACAAGTCCCAAGGAGGCCTTGTGCCTCTGCTGGAATACAGGCTCTTTTGGAGCTGCCTGAGTTAGTGGTTCAAGGATGTGGGGATATTTGTAACTGATAATTATAAATATCTAGTTAGTTATGTAATCTAAGGCTTGGAGAAAGTTGTTATGTTCAGAATTTTTGTTTCAAGTAGAGCAGAATAAATTTAGAATTGAGTTACCATCAAAGTCAGTGGCAATCACAATAAGCACCAGATTTCGTTGGATTACTTTTCAGTCTACGGCTCTGAATTTGAAATATAATTTTTTGCAGCATTTTAGACATCAGGTTATCAGTAGGTTAGTCTCTTCTTAAAGCCTCACACCAGCCTCCGTCTCGCTGAGTACACAGGTCCTCCTCGCCGTCCCTCCAGCCCTGGGGTCGCCTTACCGAGGGTCTTGTGACGTCCCTTGCCCCAGGCCTGGCCCCCCACTCTTCAGAGCTGCCGTCGGTGAGTTTTGGCCCGGGCCACGTGTCTTCCAGAGGGGGGCAATCTGCCTCACCAAGGACCCCCCGACCCCGCTTGCCTCCCACTCTGCCTCGCGAAGCTTCCCTTTCTGGAACGCTGCAAGGCTGGTGCCCCAGGGAGCACGGCCCCTCCCCGCTGCCCGTCCTGTGCAGCCTGAGGCGTGGGAGGCTCATCTGTGGCGACGTGTCCACCTCGCTTTTTTTTAGTGTGAGTTGGCTTCCGTTGCACAGTGGGCCACAGCTGCCCTGGACCCAGTCGGAAGACGTTTGGGCCACTTACAGTTTTTGGTGAGCTCAGTAAAGCTGACCTGCACATTTGCGGCGGTTCTTGTGTGCATGAGTTTTCATCCTCTTGGGTGAGTGAGTACCCAGGAGTGAACTGGGCTTGTGGGAACTGGTAGCTTTGTGAGAGGCTTGCTGGGCCATCTTCCTCGCCTCTGCACCATTGGCATTCCCACCCTAGCCGTGTGCCCTGGCAGTGCTTGATGTTGGGTGGTGTTTTAGCCTTTCTAGCTAATGCGTGGGGGTATCCACAGTGATTTTAGCTCTCGCAGATCCCTTGCGAGGGTGATAGAGGGTCTTTTTATGTGCTGATTTTTGTGTACTTATCCCTTTGTCCTTGATTATGGGTTTTTTGGATCTCCTGCCCATAGATTAAGTTGAGTTCTTGGTTTCTTGTGGAATGTGGAGAGTCTTTCTGTAGTTGTGAGGGGCGTCCTCTGACAGTCTGTGCTTTCAATCTCTCCTTGGGCTGGGCTGCCTCTGAGCTCCTGGCTTGTTCCTGCCCAGACCCGACATTCAACCCGTCTGCCGGGGCTCCCGCCATCGTCCTCCCTCCCGTCTGTCCTGCACTCCTGTACCACATCCCTGCTGTCATGTGCTGTTTCTTTTCTTCTTTTTTTTGAGTCGGAGTCTCACTCTGTCACCCAGACTGGAGTGCAGTGGCCGCTCCTGGCCACCGCAGCCTCCACCTGCTGGGCTCCGGCTATCCTTCCGCCTCAGCCTTCCAAGTGGCTGGAACTACAGGCGCGCGCTACCACGCCCGACTAATTTTTTTTTATTTATTGTAGAGATGAGGTCTCGCCAAGTTGCCCAGGCAGGTCTCAAACCTGCGGGCTCAGGCAGTTCACTCACCTCGGCATCCCAAAGTGCAGGATTACAGGCTGAGCCAGCGAGTCCGTCCACATGCCATTTCTTAGTGGGCCCTTTGCTGCGTGAATTCTTGCTGTAGGAGCATCTTGTCTGCTGCTGCATCCTAGCGCGGGACAGGTGAGCCAGGCTCAGAGTGACTCCAAGAGCATGAGTGGTGTGGCCCTTGTGACCTGTAAGAACGGATAATCTAATTGTGGTTGGATGGCAGAGAGCACGAACCAAGATCCACTGACATTTGCAGGTAGATCGCTGCTAGTCCTGTGCTCAAATGTCATGACCCAGCAGATAAGAAACTCAGTGTGCTGGCCTGGATCCTAAGTTTAACTAGAGCCCAACTTTCCCCTTTTTTCCTAAGAAAACAAAGTATGCATTGTGTGGAAACAATCAGTGCCACATAGTTAGAGGTTGGCCTCACAGACGCAGCACTATCCTCCTGCTACAACATGGGAATAAATCTCCACTTTGAAGACCAGCTGTGTGCTGGGAAAATCAGAAGGGCATCACTTATTGTCTTCACCTCAGTCTTCTACCTGAACAAAGTGTCTTTCTCGTGCGAAGTGCAAATCCATGCTTAACGTGTGTCCAGAGGAGCGTGTGACTCGCCAGCAGCACATTGCTCTGTGAAAGCAGTTCTGAGTCCTTCCTCTCTGAAATGATCTTTCTGTCAAGATTGTCTTTCCTGACAGTCAGTGCCTCAGTGGGAAGAAAGCACCTCATGATGGAGGAGAATGGAGTTGGCTCTTTTAAAACCTCTTCTAGAAGCAAGTAGAGTTCCCTATGGATACGTGTCATTGCCACGTGGGCATTGCTTTCTACATAGTCCCTCGTCTGTGTTTCATGTTCTGCCGGAGAACTCATGCCTGCTCTGCTCAGCTTTTTGTTTCATCCAAGGATTTGGGAAAATGGGAGGCTTGAACAGAAATTGTCAGAAATGTTATGTTGTACAGAGAAAAGAAGAAACCGGCAGAGGAACTGGTTTGCGTTGTTTGAAACCAGCAAGGGCCTATTGTGTGGAGCGTTGACCTACTCCGAGTTAGCTCTGGGTGTTGAGGAAGAAGGAATTTTCTAGTCAGATGGACGAGAAGGGCCGCCAGCCTTCCTGTAGAGGTGCAAACAATTCCTCATCTGACATAGAAACAGATGTCATTGTCCTTCTCACACGTATAGGTGCTGAGGCCTGAGTGGGGAGGTGGCTCCTCCTGTTCGTGGGTCGGGATCCACACCTAGACTCTACCCTGGCATGTGTGTCCCTTCTGTGACCGCTGCCTGGCTGACCTCCTCATCTTCTGCCCTAGGGTTTTCTGTTTATTCTGGGAAGTCAGCCTCTAGTCGCTTCTTGGGCAGTTCTGCTTTTGTGAGCAGCTACAATCTTGTCTCAGAATGCCCATTGTCATTCCTGCCAACCTGGTATGGTTTATAAACACATGGGAGAGG